GTCAGAGGGAGAAGCAGACTCCCTGCCAAGCAGGGAGTCCGATATGGGACTCGATCCCGGGACTCCAGGATCATGACCTGAGCCGAAGGCAGTCGTTTAACCAACTGAGCCACCCAGGCGCCCCAGTTTCAGAGAACTTTAAAAAAAATGAAAATGAACTGTAACAACCAAATGTTTTAGGAACAGATTTAATAAAAATCCAAACTTTGGAGAAATAAATGTAAATCTGGCATTTGTATGTAAGAGTTTCGTTGTCACCTGCTCAAGGACCTCCTTCAGGTCCCCCTAAAACTTCAGAGAGCTTCAGCTGTTCCTTTGCTACTGATGGCCTTTTTCAGGGCACCTTTCACATCCTGATTCCTAAGGGTGTAAATCAGCGGGTTGAGGAGGGGGGTGACGAAGGTGTAGACCAGGGCAAACTGACGGTCCTCGTCCACCGAGGAGCTAGATTGTGGACGCAGGTAGACCAAGGCACAGAAGCCATACTGCAGCAGGACCACGGTGAGGTGCGACGAGCAGGTGGAGAAGGCCCGGCGGCGGCCGGCGGCCGAGCGGATGCGCAGGATGGCCGAGGCGATGAACACATAGGAGACACAGATAAGCAGGAAGGGGATGGTCAGCACGAGGATGCTCACCACGTAGAGGACGGCCTGGTGCACGCGGATGTCCGCGCAGGCCAGCCGCAGGACCGGGGGCACGTCGCAGAGGAAGTGGTTGATTTCCCGGCGGTGCCCGCAGAGGGGCAGGGTGAAGATTAAGGCTGTGAGCTGCAGGGAGAGGAGCAGCTCCAGCTCCACGGCGCACACCACCATCTGGACGCACAGCTTCTGGGTCATGATGAGGGTGTAGTGCAGTGGGTGGCAGATGGCCACATAGCGGTCGTATGCCATGATTGCCAAGAGAAAACAGTCAGCGCCGCCAAGGGTGAGAAAAAAGAACATTTGGGCCCCACAGCCAGCCAGTGGAATGGGCTTCCGGGCTCCCAAAATGTTAGAAAGCATCAAAGGCACCACTACCGAGGTGTAGCAGATTTCCAGGGAAGACAGGTTGCACAGGAAGAAGTACATCGCGGTGCGGAGCGAGCTGTGTGTGCACACCACCCAGATGATGGCTGTGTTGCCACAGAGGATCATCAAGTAGAGGAGGAAGAAGAGGAGGAAGAGGAGGGCCTGGAATTCAGGGACCGTGGTGAACACGCGGAACACGAACTCAGTGGGGCCGGACTGGTTGAGGACAGGGCTCCTAGCAAACATGTCTCCTGCAAAGGAAGAGCAGAAAGTGCTGAACTGTGGGAAGAAAAGCAAACATTTTAAATTTGATCTTTGATTTAGCATTTAGTATCCACCTTCTGGTTTCAGTGCTTGGGATGAATTCACACTAGAGGGTATGGTATATTTTTCCATGGAAACCTTCATAAATGTGATAGATACTCATCTGTAGAAGTCTCTGGTGCCAAAGACATGTAGATATTCTTGGTGAAGTGTCTTTTTTTACTCTGGTGTTTTACATCTAATTTACAAGGGCTAATTCTTTGCTTGTATTTAATCAAAGAGTTGTGTAGTTGTAGATATTTTCAAAATTAGACGAATGGATGTGTTGTTCACTTTTTGGGTAAACATTCTTATTGAAATGTAATATACAGAGAAGTTCACAAATCCTGAGGGTACAGCTTGTTTTTTTTTATACAGTAAATACACTAGTAAAACCGCGACCAAGATGAACAAATTGAACAAATTCCAGTAACCCTACAAGGATCTCTCCTGTCTCCTGTCTTTCTACCTCACAAAGGTAAACTACTCTTTTGACTCTTGTCACTGCAGATCAATTTATGTTTCAATTCATATGTGTAATGATAAAGTATGTACTGTATCATAACTGGCTTCAACATTGTGTCTGCAAAGGCTATTCTTGCTGTTTGAGTACTAAGACTTTATACTTTCTATTGTTTTATACTATTCCATTTTCTGGCTGGGCTATAATTTATTCATGAGTTCACTTCTCATCCAGTTAATTTGGCTCATATAAAACTGGGCAAACACCTTTTATTCCAATCCTCCTGATAATATACTTTTTATATATTTCCTCTCCTTTGCATATTTTTTCCAAATTTCCAGTCATGGACCTAAACTTCTGGACTTGGACAGATTCACATAGAAGGAGACTGTAGGGAGTAAGGAAAAATCAAGGTGGAACTGCCCGAGATAAGAAAAGACAATAAGGAGACAAAAAATGCAATAACAAAGTTGAAATAGATATTAGAACATGCAAGTGAATAAGAAAAGAGCTTTAAAAGCATCTGGGAAGGGAAAAGTACCTATAAATTAAGCACCTTCAGCTTACTACAACTTTTCAGTATAAAAACCCAAGAGGCGATAAAGTAATGTCTACAGTTTTAAGAAAAACAAATTGGTGTGAAAGAATTCTGTACCCAGGTTTTAGTGATTTATGTTCAAAAGCAACAGACAGACTTTCTCAGACTTACAAGGGTTTAGGAAGTATGTCATTCTAAATACAATGAAAACAATTCCTCAACAAAGACTCCTAGTTGCTGGGCAATTAATCAGCATACATAATCCAGGACTGGGGAAGTCGTAATGTAAAAACTCGATTTGAAAAATCAAAGAGTAAAATATATATTTAACACTAAATGGTTAGTGCAAATATTGTTATAAGCCAAAAAAATTCCAAGGATAATTCTTGAAAACATGCATAATATAAAACGCAAAATTTAAAATAACTCTGCACATTTAAAACCACGAATTATATCATTGGGAAATTGATAGGGATGGATGGGAGAAATGAAATAATCATGAAATAATTTCCTCAACCTGTATAAGGAAGGATTCAAGAGATAGTTCATTTAGATGTGACTAATCAGAGAAATACCTATTCAAACATATATTTCTGAACAATGATCATCAGTAGAATAAAACTCAGCATATCCATTCCAAATGATCTGATTTAAAAAGTAAATATCATACAGAGAACAAAAGGCTCAAACAAAGGAAACTGTGAGCAAGCATATAAGAGAAAATAGCTTGAATAAGAAAAGAAAATATTTAATTTCTGAAAACAAGTTTAAATGAAGTTTATGTTCTATTAAAGACGGAGTCTCATATTTACATAATAAATCCACCAAGCACATCTACAGTGACGCAGAAAGGCTAGCATTACTTTAGTTTAGCATTGTGTGTTTTGTGATCTAGCCAATGCAAGGAGACAGAAGTTAGACAGAAGTTAGATTTGACTCTCTAACTGAAAACACAACAGAACCAATTGAAAAATTTGGACCAATAAGATCCTCATGAGACTTCCAAATGACATGTAGCAGAGGGTCTCAACTAATAATCTTCACTGAACTGCAGTGTCAGATTAACCAAACTCCTCATTTCCTCTGTTCAACATACCAAATGATGCCCATGATATACGGAACACAAGGGACCTGTAGCTCTTCTGCTATGTCTGAGCATTCCTACACCTATGCTTTGAATTGTATGTCTACAAGTTGGTTGGATTTCCCCCAAACGAACTTGTATTATTTGTATTCATGTTGTAATTATGTAATTTTGTTAAGTATTACAAAATCTAATAAGATGTTATGTGAATATAAATGATGAAAATTAACAATTGAATGTTTGATAATTACAAGTTGCTAAAAATTTTTGTGGAATAACATGTGAGCTGGACCACAATGAAAGACGGGGAAAGTTAGAATAATTTAATATTTGTATTTGACATGATGGGTCTAAATGTTCACTCTGTGAACTAAAGCTGGAATTAATACATGATACTTGAGAAGAAAGGCTTTGATTTCAGATGATACAAACTCAAAGCCCTTGGCCTTATGTCAAAAGGTTGATGAATAAATGGCCACTGGAATATTTTAAGTTCAAGTGAAATGATTAATGTAAGTATGTAGTTCATGCTTTGGATGTTAGGGCTTTCTGTTTCTATTGATGTTAGTTAGAAAATACCCTTCCCTCAAACAACCACCAAAATAAATGGGTGAATAATAAATAACACACCAGTGAATATACCTAAGAAGTAACAAGCAGAAACTACTTGAAGAAAACTGCTAAGCTTGGCACAGAATGCCTGGATGGAAAACCCAATATTTTAGTATTAATTGGCTCTGAAGTAAGGTGCGATTTCTGTGTAATTCCTATCAAAGTCCCTGGAGGAATAAACAAGAGAATGTTAAGAAAATAAAAAGAGTGCCACAATAGAACAAAATTTGCACCACGAGACATTAAAATATATCACAAATGATTATATGTTATAAAATATATCCTATGTTATAAGTCAAAATGGTATTCGTAGAGCACTAGAGCTCCCTCACACTAGAACAGAAAGAACCATTGACAGTGGCCAAGTGTTCTATAGCACTCACTGGGTCGGGCATTAATTTATGCACTTTACATTTCTTAATTCATTTCACAATGGGCCTCTAAAAAGGGGCTCTTATACCTGCTTTATGGATGAGGAAATTGAGGCACAGAGAGGGTAAATAACTTGCCCAAAGTCACACAGCTAGCAAGTGTTGGAATGAGAACTTAAACATGGGCTGGCTCCAGAGTCTCTCGTCTTAATTACTATGTTATATTACCTCTGTCTCTTACATGCATCAGCTTTGTCATCTGTAAAATGGATCTGAAAATACATGTACCTACTTCTCAGGTTGTTGTGAGACTCAAATGAATTATTTTGTAAAAGTACTTAGAACAGTCCAGGCACAGAGTACACATTAATACATATTCGCTATTGTCACTATTCAAATCAATTAGAGAGGATCAATTTCCTAATATGGGCTTAAGGCAATGGGTGAATCATTTAAAAAATGAACTTCTTAATGCATTATACATCAAAATTTATTTCTGATGGACTTGAGATTCAAATATTTAAAAAAGAAGAAGAGGGGCGCCTGGGTGGCTCAGTCGTTAAGCATCTGCCTTCGGCTCAGGTCATGATCCCAGGGTCCTGGGATCGAGCCCCGCATCGGGCTCCCTGCTCGGTGGGGAGCCTGCTTCTCCCTCTGCCACTCCCCCTGCTTGTGTTCCCTCTCTCGCTGTGACTCTCTGTCAAATAAATAAATAAATAAAATCTTTAAAAAAAATAAAAAAATAAAAAAGAGGAAGAAAACTACAAGGTAATGCAGGTGAACGTTTTTCAGACCTCTGAGTACAAATGATTTACAAGCAAATGAGCAGAATCTGTAAAAATATTATGAATATTTTGACAGAATTATAATTTAAAAGATCCGTGGGTCAAAAATACAATAAGGAAACTGGATAGGAGATGAAATTTTATATAATCTGGCAAAAACAAACCTCTCGTTAGAAAAACAAACAGAGGATCTGAACAGGCAATTCAAAAAAGAAATATGCTGATGACAACAAATACGCAAATTCAACTTCATTAATATTCAAATAAATATACAATGAAACAAAATCAGATCATATTTTCTACTTACAAACTGACAGTGGTGGAAAAAAAGATAATCCCTGCTGTTGTTAAAGTTGCAAGGAGAGACACATCCCCAAATATTGCTAGTGGAAGTATAAGGTACTAGAAAGATTTGTGAAGTGCAGTTTTGGTGATAAAAGACTTGAATAGATGCATGCACTTTGCTTTAGCAATATTATTTTAAGGAATTTATTCTTATAAACTAACCACGAGTCTGTGCATAAAATTATTAGTTTTCTGTATCATGGTGAAAAACTGCATCAACCAAAATATCAGTAATAGGAAAATGCTTAAATTAATTGTGGCATATCCATGTGATGGGACAAGCAATCATTTGAAAATGATGTTGCAGAAAAATATTTAATAAGCTCAGGAAGGCTCATGAAAAAGCATATTTTAAGCATTACATCATGATTCCATTAAAAAATAATGATATCTGTTCATAAAAATATAAAAGAACATTTTTGAAAATATTAACAATGGATATTGCAGGGTGAATGGGATTGCGAATCTTTTTGTTTATGACTTACGCTTTTCCATATTTACAGATTTTACAATGAACATATGCAATTTGGCAATCATATAATAGATTAACATATTTCCTTTATTCATTGGTATTTCAATATGGTGCTGGGAAGGAAAGCTGGGAGTGTCAATCACATGGAGTTTTGTAGTCAGTGAGATCTGGTTTTGAAATCTAGTCCCCTTATTTGCTAATTAAATTTTATGTTAATCATGCTCTAATGTGTGACTGGAGATGTGAAATGGAGCCTTACACGGAATTTATAAAGATTAAATGTTTCCAATATATAATGT